AGACAGGCGCAATATTAAGTAACTTCAAGGTAAGTTAACTGAGAACTTGAGAGAAGTGAATTACAAATCACAAATACCTCACCTTACTGACACTGTGTGAGAGAAACTGAATAACTCTCAAAAGATAACACATATTGGCACTCAAGATGATGACAGATCATATGGAGAACTACTAGGTCTCCTAGCATGAAAGGAAATACCACTGCCCAATACCAATTAAGGAAACAATTAAGCTAATTAAAGTTTGAAACAAAAGAAAACAATAACAAATAATCACTCTTAGCTAAGTTTACACAGCACTCTTTTGGGTATTTGTACAGAATCAAGGCACTTAGTCAAAATAACACCTCAGTGGACCACCATTACTGTTTTCTTTTTTAGACGAGGAGTTGAGAACTAGAGCTGCTGTAGTCACATAACCAGTAACAGCCATCTGGTCAGCTTGTCTTTAGACCCCCATTCTTAAGCACTTGTGTAACAGAGCTTCTCCAAGAAATCAAGCAAAAGGTCAATTGCATCAAATGATCCTGATTACAAATACTTTTCAACATTGTTCTTTCAGCAATTTTCAGCACCTGGTAACAGCAAAGCATACAGGTAATGGTAGTTAAACAGGAAAGTCCCATGGAGGTTTGGTAATAGTTTCATCTTCGGTAATACAAGAGAAGATTGTTTTACAGTGCAGTAAAGGAAGTGATGCAAATTTAAAGAGCCTCACAATACTAGTGAGTCAAGTCAAGGATGTAATCAGCACATGACTTAATCTGTTTGCACTCAATCCAGGAAATCCCGAAGCTTAGGAGTATATTTCTCACTATTTGCATAAGTACCAGACACTTGATGATACACAAAAGGTGTTTGGAATTTGGAGAAAGATGCAGCTCTCTTTCCAGTATTCCATGTGAACATTTCAACAGGACTAACTGGAGTCATGAAGATAAGTCAGAGAGAAGCTGGAGAAAGAACTCAGCAAGTAAGAGCACTTGCTGCTGTTCTTCCAGAAGTCCCAGGTTCAGTTCCCAGCATCCATATCAAGTGCCAGGGGATCCATAACAGGTGGCTCATAACCACTGTAATGGGAGTGCCAGGGGATCCAATGCTTTTTCCTGGACTCTATGGGCACCCACAACATGGTAGACACATATTCCCACATACAATATAAACAAAACTTTAAAATAAAAATGTTTTAAAGTAAGGTGAGGACATGCCACATTGTCAAGGGATAATAGACTGACTCCGAGCACCTGTCTGCTCTGACCCAATTTAAAAGTGGCTCCGCACAGAAACATCACAATGCTCACCTTCAGGAGAAAGAAGACACAGGCAAGGCCAAGTTGGCAATATGACTCTATCCACTGTGATCTCAAAGGAGCCAGGCTTTAAATGCTGTCTCTTTTTTGTTTGTTTATTTGTTGTTTTTGTTATTGTTTTTGTTTTTCAAGGCAGGGTTTCTCTGTAGCTTTGGAGGTGGTCCTGGAACTAGCTCTTATAGACCAGGCTGGTCTCGAACTCACAGAGATCCACCTGCCTCTGCCTCCCCAGCGCTGGATTAAAGGCGTGTGCCGCCAACGCCTGGCTAAATGCTGAAGAGATGGCTCAGCCGATAAAGGCTAGGCTCACAATCAAAAATATAAATGCTGTCTCTTTACTGAACCATATTATGACTGTTTTTATCACAACCATCAATGATCAATCAAAGATTTTGTACTGCCTTTACTCCAGATCAAACACACACACACACACACACACACACACACACACACACACACACACACACACATACACACACACTGAATTCCTCAGTTGAGCCTCAGCTGAATGAGTGGTCCAAGGCCCTCAGAGACTAAGCAATCTCCACCTGTACTAAGAACTTCTTAGCATCACAAGACACAGGTGTTTATAGTCTATTTCTATCCAGAGAGAAATGACATTCTTGAAACTGGGGGAGAATTCCTCTATTATTTTCTTTTTTGACAAACACAAAAGCACAACTCCTGAGCATTTCATATTACTATAACTGTGGGAAACATGTTTAAACCATCCTTAGACAGTTTGAGAATACACTCCCATAAAGAATTCAGTAGTTATTGAAAGTCACAGGAATTCTTCTAGATATAAAGGCTCTTTATGTCATTAATATAATTTTAAGGGATGGAACTGCCATAAGTTTTGCCCAGAATAACACATTTTTACCAAAGATTACCATTTACTTTCTTCTTTTGGAGGGGGAGGACAGCAGGGAGCTGAGGTGCTGAAGATAGAGCCTAAGCCCTCACAAGTGTTAGGCAAGCGCTCTATCATGGAGCCACACTTCCAAACCGCATAGAATGCTCCTATCTCAACTGATTTTCTTTTAATATATTTTATTGCATTTATTTAGTGTATGTGTGTGCGTGTGCACAGGAATGTGTGTGTGTGTGTCTGTGTGTATGTGTGTGTATAAGTGTGTGTGTGAGTGTGTGTGTGTGTGAGTGTGTGTATTTGTGTGTGTGAGTGTGCACAACACATGTTTAGATGTCAGAGGACAACTTTCAAGATGCAGAAGTTGGTTCTCACCTTCTACCATGTTGGTCCCAGGGATTGAACTCAAGTTTTCAGGTTTGGCAGCAGGCACCTCTACCCACTACCCACTGAGCCATAACAACAGCATCCAATCTATATTCATGATTCAGAGAACCACTGCAATCCACTAATCCATTAATTCAACCGAAGTAACACTGTAATCCACCTTACCAACTTCTGTACAAGACACCAGGCCAATGCCTGAATCTTTCATTTTCTACATTTATTGATTATTACATTTGGGTCTAAAAATTTCACGCAAGATATTTTATTAATTATTTTACCTTTGAAAAAAGTATTAAGGAAACATTGATCACAAAGCACGAACTCAAAGCTGGATAGAAGTATTTTAGTCACAGAACAGTGACTGCAGCTAATTATTTTAAAATTAGTAACTGGATAGATTTAAAATAATAAGTATATGAGGTCATAGGAAAGTTAGTTCACTTGATTTAAGCATTCTATAATATATGCCTGTATTATAACTCTACATCATACTTCATACACACACACACACACACACACACACACACACACACACACACACATATATATAGTACAAAACTATTAAAAAAAAGTAAAAAGGTATTCTTTCATTTTCTACATTTATTGATTATTACATTTGGGTCTAAAAATTTCACGCAAGATATTTTATTAATTATTTTACCTTTGAAAAAAGTATTAAGGAAACATTGATCACAAAGCACGAACTCAAAGCTGGATAGAAGTATTTTAGTCACAGAACAGTGACTGCAGCTAATTATTTTAAAATTAGTAACTGGATAGATTTAAAATAATAAGTATATGAGGTCATAGGAAAGTTAGTTCACTTGATTTAAGCATTCTATAATATATGCCTGTATTATAACTCTACATCATACTTCATACACACACACACACACACACACACACACACACACACACACACACATATATATAGTACTTGACAATTTTAAAAAGTTGAAAAGGTTTAAAACCAGAACTACTTAAAGCGTTCATGTTAGAACTTAATTCTCATTTAATTGGATTTTATGGGAGGTACTGATGAAAAAACTATTAGCAAAATTCCATTAACATTTATCAAACTTTAATTTTATGTATTTACCATAGCTAGGCACTATAGACATCACAAAGGGACTTTATAAAATTATTATATGTTTTTAAATGAAAGGAGAGCTAAGAAAGGAAAAGAAACTTAACTGGATCTATAATGTAAGTGACAGAGCCACGAAAGAATCCAATTCTGATAACCAAGTTTATGTGCATGAATCCAGGTTATAGCACACTGGGAGAAAGAATGGAATATGGAATACAACACACTTGTGATGCAGAATTAAAATTTATTTTGTTCCACAGAGGCCAGTCTACAATAATCCCTTAGAATTAAATAGATTTAGTTTAATATTTGACTCCGGATGTAGCCATGTGATGGACTATTAATACATAATGGCTTGGATGACTGAGGAGGTGTTTCACTCTGCCCCTAGATGTGTGGTCTGATGACATCTGAGTTAAATTCCAAACATCATAGTTCTCGGACTCAAGATGACATTCCACAAGACTTCAGTGGTTATACTTCCCAGTATAAAACAAATGTGCAAAATTGATGCATGTGTTCTGGTGGGAGGTAATTGCTTAAGATATGCTTGAGCCTAGAATTAACTGAGGAATAAGAAACTTCTGCTAAGCATTCCACAGGCCTCTCCCCTATAAAGTGCATGGTTCCTTACAGGTGCAAAGTCACAAGAAATGGCAAGATAAAGAAGGAATTGCAGATTTGGCTCATAAAGAGGCTTTGTAGGGATGAACAAGGGTCACCTATGGAGAACTATTTTCTATGCTCAGTTGGCAACCACTTATAAGTCATCTCGTCCAACAAAATAAAGTACCACCAGTGCTCTGCTCCTCTATGTCACAGTTATGATGCTTGTTCAGTGTTCTTATAGTATGTCTCACAGAAACACGGAGGGATTTTTTTTAGATTGAACATTATTTGAGAGTAACTATGGCCACAATATATAAACTCAGGTATCCAACACCTTTCCCACCCAATTAAGCACTGCAGCTTCCTGCTGACATCTGTTCGGAGCAAACATGAGATTTCTTTCCCATTAGCCAGAGAGAGATTTCTGAGTAGTAGTGATGAATTTGTACTTAAGTATTTATAACATCTGCTAAAATATCTTTACTTACCCTCCGGATATGTTCTCAGGAAACTTGGCCAAGCTACGGATTCAGTGTCTGCTCTTGTAGGTAGGTGAATGGCATGTTCTAATTTCACTTACATCCTCTAGCAGTTTCAAGAAGCAAAGTTCAACACTCTGAGCTACACACTGGACTCAAATGTCCCTCTCCACTGAACAAGCTTGACAAGGACAACTATCTCAGACATGAACACTTAGGAAGAAAATCAGAAGTCCTCTTAGGAGGTGCCTTACCAAGGGTGCTCCAAAGGCCCAGGTGGAGGATGAAGAGTTCCCTAAATAACCCTAGAGTCCCAAGCATGGCAGGCAGTGTCTTGATTCCCAGCACCTGTAAGGCAGAGGTGAACTCCTCAAGCAGAAGACTCCTCTTCCTCCTAGGGATCTTCAGAGCTGGGTGGTGTCATCTACCCTAGCAGCATCTTAGGGGAAAAACAAATGAGGAGAACAGGTGGGAGAAGACAGGACGAAGAGCCTGAATGATTTTGTGAAGGCAAGTGAACAGAGACTGTGCTGTGGTTTTGCTGCTGATCCAATCTGCTCTTCACTTTCAGTCCCTCTGATGTGCAAAGCAGCTGGGTCCCTGCTTCTTCTTCCGCCCTGCCACCATTCTTGCATCACCTTGAGGTTTTTTTTTTTTTTTCCTCAAAGTGAACAATCAAACTTGAACGGAATCCAAGTTTCCAGCCTTTAGGTTTAGGTTTTGATCAAATCAGGGTTGGGGAATTAATGGTAAAAGTACCTATGGTAAGCATGCATGTCCCCTTTTCATGGCTTCTAATTATGATACTTCTACGTAGTGGACCTGAGAGCTCCCACCCCCACCCCATCATGTCAAAGTAAGATGAGAATGCTCATTGACATGAAAGCAATGAAGACTCATCTGAGGTTATGGAGAAAATGACTGACAGGATGTACTTCACTAACAGAAGAAGACAGGGCCTCCTTCTTCACTCTGGAGATGCCTATCAACGGAACGCGATCACCATCAATACTGGCTACATGTTCTCTCTAAATATTAAAGTTCTAAGCAAAATGAGATCTTGAATACAAATTAAGGGAAACATACATTTTCAGTATGTTTCATGTGGTTGTTGTCTAGATTAAGCAGGAAAGTAAGAAGTGGAAAAGTTCTAAATTGGATAGCTGGGGGGCCATGGACTCCTGGCCCACATTTAATCACAAGCATATAACAACAGGTACTTATGTAATTCCAAATGAAAAAGCTTGTTTTGTATCACTTGTGCACTTGTAGTCATTGGTAGAAATAGAAAAATCTTTCCCTTAGAAGTTGGTGACATCCATTCAAGGCCAAACTCCAGTTATGTAGTTATTGTGTATTTATTGATCAAACAGAGAAGCCACAGTAGTTGGAGATACAAACATGAATGAACACACTACTCCTGAATTTAAGGAACTTGGCCAGCCAGTATTGACAGCCATGTACCCCAGGTACACCAGGTAATAGTGTCTACAGAGTTCTTAGAAGCTGACTGCTGACCAAGGAAGCACCCTCTTTATGGCGCATTTTACACAACTCATTCCTTTCCCTTGCTCAGAATGGATGCACAATTCCTGTGGCAGTTAAAGCAAGGTCCATTGTTCTTCTAAAGTGGTCTAAGAGGTTTAAAATGAAAGCCTTGAGTCACCCACTGTAAAGCCCAATAAGCCATCTAAACCAGAAGTAAAGCCTGTCAAGTCCAGATCTTCATAATTCTCTACCCTGGTGGTTGCTCTCCTCCCTCCCCTGCCTCCTTTTCCTTCTGCTTTTGGTGTGTGTGGTGTATGTAAATGTTCGTGCACATGTGCAGACATGCTGTGTGCATTCTGAGAGTGTTCGTGGGTCAGGTTTCTTTCTTAATCATTCTTCACCTTATGTCTTTAGACAAGGTTTCTCACTGAACCAGAGCAAACTGGCCATGAACTCCAGAAATCCATCCCTCCTCACCCACTCCCCAGCCCTGGGATTACAAATAGACATCACCCTATCTGGGCTTTTATGTGTCTTCTGGATATCTGTATTTGGGTCCTCAAGTACTTCACTGGTTGAGCCATCTTCCCAGCCTCATGACTTTATTTTCATATAAAGGAGTTTAGACTTAATAAATAAAATTTGAAAAAAAACTTACAAAACATTTTAAGTGATGTCCATTCTGATAGTTTTATCAGTGTGTCCGGCTATTTATTCCTTCACAGCAGGGGGTACTGAGCATGCCACTAACCAAGACTTTGCCTCAGAATCACACTCATTTTTATTCTAGTAAAGAATCGAAAGAAGCCAGATTCAGAAATGCATTGCTCAGTCACAAGTCTGCATTGCTTTGTGTTTATAACTTATCCAGTAACTAGGCTTTTTATCTCAAACCATCCCCCCATAATCATGTGCCATTTGATCTGAAAATTGTAATTTCCATGTCAATGCACATATTTGAAGAGTTTACTGAATTCTTAGACTTGATTCTTTGTATACTAGGAACAGTTTTTACAACACAAACTTTAAAACACAAATTGATAGTTTTAAGTTGAATGACAAAAAGTAAAATAGGATTTGGCAAGATGCAAATTAGCTTTACAAACACCCAGGAGCAACTTACACAACAAATTAGCTCACTCACTTGCTGACTCAGTTACTTTTGTGAATCGTAAAGCAACCTTATTTTCTGTAATATTTCCTCCAGGTGATCGAAAAAGCAGCAGTCACAAACTTAGATACAACAATGTTAGACAACATCAGATCCTTCTTAGTCCTGATTTTTTTAAGCCACACCCAAATAATATTCCATAGCCTCTTCCAGAAGCATCAATCTACATCTAAGACCATAGTCGTTCTAATGTATGTGCTTTCCTCACTAATGTTATTGCTAGCAGTGGCATCTAGACATGGCTGCTCTTTACAATCAGCCTGAGTAATGTTAGAAAATGAAGGACTCCCAAGACCATGATGGGGAAACCGGCAGAAACAGCTGACCCAAGCAAGCGAAAACTCACTGACTCCAGACTGACAGCTGCAGAACCCGTGTAAGACCGAACTAGGTCCCCTGGATGTAGATGATAGTTGGGGGGGCTGAAATAGTTTATGGGGCCTCTGGTAGTGGGACAAGTATTTATCCCTAGGGCATGACTGACGTTTTGGAGCCCATTCCCTATGGAGGGATGATACTTTGCTCAGCCTAGATATAGTGGGGAGGGCCTTGGACCTGCCTTGATGTAACAGACTTGGATAATTCCCCATGGGAGGTGGGGTTGGGTAGGGAGAGAGTGGAAAGAGTGGCAGAAAGGGAAGGGGGGGACTTGGATTGGTATGTAAAATAAGATTGTTTAAAAAATAATAAAAATAAATATAAAACAGAAAAACAAAAAGGAAAGAAAATGACTGACTCTTATGATCCAGCCCTTAACCTGCTAGGCTCAGATCCCACAGAGCTGTGGCCAGAGTGCTCTTTTGAAATAGATACAAACATGCTTCTGACACATTGGATTAAAAGTATGGTTAGAAATCATCTGGTTGGGTGGAATTGGTGAACTTTTGACATGTGGTAGCAAATATTTGATACTCACTAGTTGTCATGCTTTTTAAATTCTTAGAGCCCAAGGCAGACCTAGGGATACCCCACATAGATTGTCCTCTACAGATGTGTTTTCTCTTAGCTCTGGGGATGGTAGTTAACACAGCCTCAGACATTAACTCATCTCAGTGTGTTTTCCATTGAGAAGCACTTTACCCAAGGTCATGATATTCTTGATGCTCTGCATGCAATAATGGACCAAGGGAAGTGTGCAAATCATTGGCTCTTTTCACTCAACATGGAATGCTGGTGGGACATTCTTGCTCTAGCATGCATCGTTGAATTGTCCAGGTGCAGGTGGAGTTTTTCTGACCCAACTACCTGCTCCCAAATGACTGGCAGCTCCTTCCAAAACAACTGTCTCAGGGGCATAATTTTGTCTATAAATGTTTGGCCAATAGCTCAGACTTGTTCCAAGCTAACTCTTACATTTAAATTAACTTATTTCTATTAATCTATGTATTGCCACATGTCTCGTGGCTTGTTACCTCATTTCTACAGATCCTGCTTTCTTGGCATCTGGATGGCATCTCCTCTGATTCAGCCCTCCTTCTCATTCTCAGTTTGGCTTTCCTGCCTAACTTCTGCCCAGCTACTGGCCTGTCAGCTTTTTGTTAACTGAGAATAAAACATATTCACAGTGTACAGAAGGATTATTTCACAGCAGCCAAGGTTGTCAGGCTTGCACACAGTTTAATTACACCCTATCCTGCTTAATTCTGTCTTTACACAGATGTGGATTCTTAATCATTTCAATATCTGCTCCCAGTGAAACAAATCCACTCATATCTCTATTCCTAGTTTTGTAGAATAAAGATGGTAATAATACCGTTCTATTAGGCTGGTTGGTTAACTGAGGTGATTTTCACAGTGATCAGCAATTGTAGCTATAATTATCCCCAAATGATGGTTAGTTTTTACTTGGAGAAATTAGATACTGCATTAATAAGCCAAACAACTAATGATGGTAGAAGCACACAGACAAACACCACACTCCAAGAACATCTTACTCAATTTTACTGACAGACTTGTATACACTATGTTTCTTCCATTTACTCACTATGATATCTTAACACAAATTATATCACATCTTTTTTGTTGTTACATCTCCAACAGAGTTCTTATTTTTTTAAAGGAATGAATTAAGGAAAAGGAAGTCACAGAGTGTGGAATAGAAAATAAATAAGAACATAAACTGTTTTATTAATTCTGTTATCAATAAACCAGTACAAAAAACTCTATAAAACATAATAATAATAACGAGTTAAAATGAGGCACTTCCTTAGCAGGCCTGAAGATTCCAGTCTCTATTAGGAATTTAGAATGCAGAAATTATATAATATTTACATTCTTTATAATATATCTACATTGCTTCATCTGTAAAACAAGAATATTAACACCATGTGGAAGGTTGGTATGAGGACTAGTGATATAAAGATTTACATATTATAATTTTTCTGCAGATTTTTTATTTGAATTAGAAACAAGATTGTTTTACATGACAATCCCAGTTCCCTCTCCCTCCCCTCCTTCCCTTCCACTCCCGTGCCCCCCCCACCCCGACAACTGAAACCCTACCTGTCACATATCCTTCCTGCACCCCCTCGATGGTGAGGCCTTTCATATGGTATCATCAGAGTCTATCGTATCCTTTGGGATAGGACCTAGGCCCACCCCCATGTGTCTTGGCTCAGAGAGTATTCCTCTATGTGGAATGGGCTCCCAAAGTCCACACCTGTGCTAGGGATAAGTATTGAACTTCTACAGGAGGTCCTGTAGATTTCCGAGGTTTCCTCACTGAAACCCATGTTCCTGGGGTCTGGATCAGTCCCCTGCTGATATTCCAGCTATCAGTCTGGGGAGCAAGAGTTCCCTGATGTTCAGGTCAGCTATTTCTATGGGTTTCACCAGCCTTGTCTGTACCCCTTTGCTCATCACTCGTCCTTCTCTGCATCTGGATTCCAGTTCAGTTCAGTGATAAGTTGTGGGTGTCTGCTTCTACTTCCAGAGAAGCTAGTAAACAAGGAGGACTCTAAGAGAGACATACACGGTCCCGTGGAGAAGGGGAAAGGGTCAAGATCTCCTGAGCAAATTGGGAGCACGGGAAGAGGGGGGAGAGAGCTAGGAGAATGAGAGGGGAGAAGAGGAGGGATGCAGAGGACATGAGGGAGCAGAAAGGTTGAGTCAGGGGAAGAATAGAAGATAACAAGAATGGAGCTATCATAATAGAGGGAGAGATTTTAGGTTTACAGAGAAATCAGGCACTAGGGAAATGTCTGGAGATCTACAAAGATGACACCAGCTAACAATCTAAGCAACAGAGGAGAGGCTACCTTAAATGCCCTACCCTGATAATAAGATTGATGACTGACTTATATGCCACCAGATAGCCCTCATCCAGCAGCTGATGGAAGTAGAAGCATATTATAATTTAATATATATGAAAACATCTACCACAATTCCTGAAACTAAGGACTGGAGAGTTGGCTCAGTGGTGAAGAACACCTGTTGATCTTGTAGAGAACAAGAGATCAATTCCCAGAACTTGCATGGCAGCTTATAACTGTAACTTCAGTTCTAGGGGCTCTGATGCCCCTTCTTCTGCCTCCTTGGGCACATACATTCATGCATGCACATAAAATAGTAAATCTAAGCAACAAAAATTTATAAAAGATTCTAATGCATGCATTTTCCTTTCTTTCATTCCAAATGGAAAGTTTTAAGTTTCTTAGAGATTTTTTTTTTCTTTGTATCTCCAAAGCATGGACAAAATAGAGCTACCTGGCTTCTCTTAGATCCCATGCACATGTGTAAAGTGTATTTTTATATGCTTATATGCCTAATGTTTATTTTTTAAGTTTTAATTGAAAATATAGTCTTCTCTCATAAAATACATCCCAAACAGCTTCTTCTCCCTCCTCTCCTCCCAATTGCCCACAAACCCCCCTCTGCCTCAGATCCA